AGAGAGAGAGAGAGAAATCAACATAGTGCAGTGGAAAGAGGGTGGGACAGGATGCCAGATTATCTTTCTGGCTCTGCCACTGGTTTATCTGTGTCACCTGGACCTGTTTTTGTTTGTTTTGTTTTGTTTTTTGAGACAGAGTCTCACTTTGTTGCCCCAGGCTAGACTGCTGTGAGGTCATAGCTCACAGCAAGCTCAAACTCCTGGACTCAAGTGATCCTCTTACCACAGCCTCCCTAGGAGCTGAGACTAGTGGCAGAGGGCATAATGTCCCACTAGTTTTTGTATTTTTAGTAGAGACAGGTGTTGCTTTTGCTCAGGCTGATCTCTAACTACAGAGCTCAAGCAAACCACCAGCCTTGGCTGCCCAGAGTGCTAAGATTACAGATGTAAGCCACCTTACCAGCCTGTTTCTTCCATTTTAAGATGGAGAAAAATTGTACTAAATGTTCTCTTTTCTCTCCTAGGTCTCTTTTACCTTTTATATTTAGTTATTCTATAAATGATAAAGTGATGAGAGAAAAATATTTATTTTCTCCTTTGCTTCCTGGTTTCTCTCTTCCTTTCTGTGCCTTTACCCTTTCCTACAAATTATTCTGTTATTTATTTATTTATTTTAGCCAAGACATATACAAATGTATCAAAAAATGCAAGTACTGAATCTGAAGACCTTCAAAAACTGAAGCCTTTGGCCAAGTGCAATGACCAGAATTCCTGGGTGCAGTGGCTAACCCCTATAATCCTAGTGTTCTGGGAGGCTGAGGTGGATGGATTGTCTGAGCTCAGGAGTTTGAGACCAGCCTGAGTCAGAGCAAGACCCTGTCTCTAAAAAATAGCCAAGTACTCTGATGGGGGCTTGTAGTTGGGGCTACTTCAGAGGCCAGAGCAAAGGAATAACTTGAGCCCAAGAGTTTGGGGTTGCTATGAGCCAGGACACCACCTTACTCTACTGGGGGTGACAAAGTAAGATTCTGTCTCCCAAAAAAAAAAAAAAAATACAGAGAGAGACAAACTAGGCTAAAGTCTTCAAGGGTTGGAGTCACAGGTTATTTGCTAACCATTACCTTTTTAAAAAATGCAGTGTCTTTCTTAAGTTTTCATTTTCTCTTCTCCTGGTCCCTCCTTACTCTTCTTTCTTTAGTGAAGAAGGGCCCACTGGTTCTATCCCTGGGTTTGTTTTTATGTGTCATAATTATTCAGACCAATCTTTAATCTACCTTTTTTACTTTTTTAAAATTTCAAAGTATTACATGTTTTTGGTTACATGGATCACTTTTGGTTTTGGTTACATGGGTCGCTTTTGTAATGCTTGAGACAGAGTTATAAGAGTGCCCATCACCCAGGGAGTGTTTATTGTGTAGCAGGAAACAGACACAGACAGAAGACTCCAGGCACCAGTTGATTAGAGGAAGCTGGTTTATTCGGCCCGGGCAGGGGGGTGTACTGGGAACACCAGCGTGTTTCCCAAAACCGAGCCCCCGACTCAACCTCTTGCTCTCTTTTATCCACTTTTTAGGGTGGGAGTGCAAGTGAGGGTCATAAAACAGAGAGAGACATGACATCATCCTCAAGGTCCCGGGCTCAAGGGGGAAGGTCAGATTCGCCCTGTCCTTGAGACCCTTGAGACTGGTGGGACCACCTGCCCTCAAAGGCAACAGAAACCCAAGGAAGTTACTAGGTTACAATCTAGGCCCCACTGAGGCCTACACAGGGCGGCTAGGATTCTTTTAGTTCTGCTTTTACTTTCTTGCCTCAATTGTACCCATTAGGTAAGTTTTCACCCAGTTTCTCTTCCCTCCTCTCCCCTGGGTTGCCTTCTCTGTGTCATAGCAGCATCTATTGTTTGGGGACTTTTCAATAAAAGACACTCTAACTGGTGTAGGTGATATCTCCTTGTGATTTTATTTTGCATTTCCTTGATGATTAGTGACGTTAAACATTTTTTTCTTCTTTTTTTGCCATTCGTCTATCTTTTTTTGAAAAGCTTCCATTCATGTTTTTTCATGGATTTCTTTGATTTTAACTTTGCTGATTTTCTTGAGTTCTTTACAAATTCTGGTTATTAGCCATTTGTTGGATGTATAGCTTATGAATATTTTCTCCCATTCTGTAGGTTGTCTGTTCTGCTGATTATTTCCTTGGCTGTGAGGAAGCTTTTTAACTCAACCTAGTCCCAATTAAAAAACTTTTTTGTTGTTGCTGAGACTGTCAGTGTTGTCTTCTTCAAAAATTCTTTGCCCAGGCTGATACTGAGAGAAGATACCCAGAAAAAGTAAGGTCTGAGAGAACAGACGTATTAGCAAGGAGAGCTCAAGGGTACACCTGTGAGGGCTTCCCTGTGGTGACTCAACTCATAGGAATTTGTAGAAACATAACTTCCTGGGACCTGGAAATTTGCTTGCTTCCGCTTCGGTAAAAGCCCAAGCCAGCTTCTTTGGTTTGATTCAAACTGACCACAGAGAAAGGTACCCTTAAGCTGGAACTTTCTGACGGGGGATAAAAAGGAGAAGACTGAGCCAGTTGGGAGCACGGCCATTTTGAATTCTTCTGTGCCGTTGCTCCACCGGCTGAAATAAAGCTCTTCCTCTGTTAAACACGATGTTTGGGGGTTCACTCTATCCATTGGGCCTCGTCTTCCTATAACAATACCTGGAAGAGTTTTTCCAACATTTTCTTCTAGCATTATTATGGTTTCTTGCCCTACAATTTAAGTCTTTTATCCATCTTGAATTAATTTTTGCAAGTGATATGAGATATAGATGCTCTTTCATTCTTCTGCATGGCCTATCCAATTTTCCTGGCACCATTTATTGAATACAGGTTCTTTCCCCCAGTGTACGTTGTTGTCTGCTTTGTCAAAGATCAGTTGGCTGTATGCAGATGGTTTTATATCTGGGTCTATGTCTCTATTTTTGTGCCAAAAATGGTTAACTAAGGCCTTGTGGTATAGTTTGAAGTCTAGTGATATGATGCCTCCAGATTTGTTCTTTTTGCTTAAGATCGCTTTGGCTATTCAGAGAAATATGACATTGGTATTTTGATGGGGATTGTATTGAATCTGTGAATCACTTTGGGCAGTATGAACATTTTAATGATGTTGATTCTACCAGTCCATGAGCCGGGGATTTTTTCTGGTTTGTGTTATCTGTAATTTATTTCCTCTGTGTTTTGTAGTTCTCTTTATAGAGATATTTCACCTCTTTCCTTAAGTAAATTCCTGGGTATTTTATTTTCTTTGTAGCTGTTGTGAATGATGTCAAGCTGCCTTTGTCATGAAAACTCATAGGTATAACTTTGAAAAGAAAATTGGAAAGGGCACTGGGTTATACAAATTGAGAGTATACTCAAATTTGCTGTAGAAATGCCAGATGTTTTTAGATTAAATATGAATCCTGAATAGATAATTCTGTTTCTGTGGTAATTTTTCCTTTTCTGAGGCAAAGTTAATGGAATTGAACCATACATGTTGATGGATAAGTTG